GTGGAGACATTTTCTCAGTATTCCCAGAACAATATTGCCTGTGTCAGGTTTTTCTCCATTTCCGTGTGTTGTATTCAGTGTTTATATTCTGCAAGATGTTAGATAGTAGAAGTGGCCAGAAGAAGGATCTTGGGTTACTTTGAGGTACATTGGCAAGGAATTCATCTATTTTTTTTTTTATCATGTCAGAAGTGACTTGAGAAACTGCAAGTCGCTTCTAGTGTGAGAGAATTGGTCGCCTGCAGGGACGTTGCCTAGGGGACACCCAGATGTGCTACCATCCTGTGGGAGGCTTCTCTCATGTCCCCGCACGGGAAGCTGGAGCTGACAGATGGGAGCTCACCCCGTCTTGTGGATTCGAACTGCCTATCTTTTGGTCAGCAGTTCAGCAGGCACAAGGGTTTAACCCAGGGATTCTCAAACTATGGCCTGGGGGCCGAATACGGCCCTCCAAGGTCATTTACTCGGCCCTCGCTCAGGGTCAGCCTAAGTCTGAAAAGACTTGAAAGCATACAACAACAACAACAACAATCCTATCTCATCAGCCAAAAGCAGACCCACACTTCCCAATGAAATACTAATAAGTTTATATTTGTTAAAATTGTTCTTCATTTTAATTATTGTATTGTTCTAAAGTGTTTTTTGCACTACAAATAAGATACGTGCTGTGTGCATAGGAATTTATTCATATTTTTTTCAAATTATAATCCGGCCCTCCAACAGTTTGAGGGACTATGACCTGACCCTCTGTTTAAAAAGTTTGTGGACCCCTGGTTTAACCCATCATGCCACCACAGCTCCTTAGTTCATCAAATAATTAAATAGTAGTAGTGTCAAAAATAATCTCTGTCACATTACATTATATTATTGAAATGGAGAAGGTTTGGGATAAGCAAGATGGGTTTCGATTTGGAAGAATGATGAGTGCTGTTCATTTCTTAGACTCGGGGTTCTTTCATTCTAAGTGTATGTCATTTCCACCAGGATCTGACTATTTGGATTATGGAATCCAAATTTAAAAATAGTTGATTCCACAAACCTGAAGTTTACCCATCCCTACTATATAGAATATAGATATGGCACAGTCCATGTTCAGAGAACTTGTGCTTTCTTGGTAGGATAGGAACTGAGTGGTGATTATTTTTTTATACAGTGCCATCATTGTGTATGGTATTATACGAGTAGCTTACAAATTAATAATTTGACAGTTTCCTACCACCATCTAAAGCAGTGATTCATAATTTGTGGTCCGTGGAGGTCTGTTTGAGTGGTCTGCAAGAATGAAAATATGGTCTGTGGCGTCACCATTACTACACTGTTGCCTCAAAACCACACGGCGACAAGAGCAACTGGTCTTGCGAAACCCTCTTATAGTGACGAGGCAACGGGGATGTTGGGAGGGGAGAGGCAGACTACCCACAAAAGATTACTACTACCACATTAGGTCTAGATTATTAAATATGGGTTTCTGTGGGCGAGCAGATGGTGACTACTGAATGACATCTTTTGTATCAGAAACTAGAGCTGATGTGGTGTATCCAATGCGACTTTCTGAATCAGCACCCCAAATAACCAAACCAAATCTAAAGTTGACCAAAAACTGATTCGTAATCCTTTTGGTACTAATGTTGGAGAGTGGCCCCAGTTCAAGTGGTCCCTGGTTAAAAAAAGGTTGGGAACCACTGATCAAAAATCATGGCACACAAAGAAAAGGATATGTCTCTAGGAAAGGGGATGCTGTCTGCTGTTCTTCTCTCTCTCTCTTTTTTTTTACATGATGGAGCTGTCCCGGCCTGCTTTGATAAGGTCATGAGTGGTTATGAATAGAAGAAATCAGACAGGGGGAAATGAAATGGAAGACTAGCTAAAGTTTTGATAGAATGGTTCTAAAGATAGAATTAAACAGAGATCAATGTTCTGGTCTAGCAAGTTCTTTCAGTGTCCATGGATGTGTGTCATCCCAGGAGCTTAGAATTTTATGTTTGAAAATGAATGTTATAATGGTAAATGTTAGTGATAAAACTATACAGCTTCCCTCAGATTCCCCCCATTCAATCTCCTTATATTACTTATTTGTTTGTGTACAGTATTTATATTCTACCCTTTTCACCCCGAAGGGGACACAAGGTGGATCACAGAACATACATAAGTGACAAACATTCAATGCCATTTATACATTGACAAAACAGACAATTGTATATAGGCTTTTCCCATCTTCGGCATCTTGGAGGCTTGAGCTCAGTTCCGGCCATGGATGTGTATGTGCTGTCGCTCCATCTCCCTGCTGAAGAGCTTTGTTCGTAAACTTCCTCCTTTGAAATGCTGGTATTTTTCTGTTGTTTCCTCATGGGTACCTTAAAATACCTCCCTGCTTTTAAGCGGTACCTGTTTATCTACTCACATTTTTGCTTTCAAACTGCTAGGTAAATGGAAGCTGGGCTAAAGGTCAGGAGCTCACCCTGACCTGGGCTTCGAACTGTCAACCTCTTGATCGACAAGATTTACTGCAGCTGGTGGTTTAACCTGCTGTGTGAAAGCTCGACCTATTATGATAGCTTTACCTTTTTGTTCCAGGTTTATTTATTATTTATTTAAAACTTCTATATCCCAATTTTCTCAACCTCCATAGAGGGACTCAAACCTCTCCAAGTGTATGACTGGGGGCCCTTCCACACAGCCCTATATGCCAGAATATCAAGGCAGAAAATCCCACATTATCTGAGTGTGGACTCAAATAACCCAGTTCAAAACAGATATTGTGGGATTTTCTGCCTTGATATTCTGGGATATAGGGCTGTGTGGAAGGGCCCCAGATCGACTGAAGAAGAAGTTTGGTAAAAAGCACAATGAGAAATTGGGAGAGAGAGAAGCCAAGGCAGAAGGAAACGGAAGAGAGGCTTTAGGAAAAATGCAGGGTGCTTTCAAATTGTTCTGACTTCACTGCCATATTGACTTCACTGCCATATAATATCCAGATTATCTGCTGTTTTTCCCCTGACATTAAGTCCAGTTGTGTCCGACTCTGGGGGTTTGTGCTCATATCCATTTCTAAGCCAAAGAGCTGGCGTTGTCCGTAGACGTCTCCAAGGTCATGTGGCCGGCATGACTGCATGGAGCACCATTACCTTCCCGCTGGAGCGGTACCTATTGATCTACTCACATTTTCATGTTTTTGAATTGCTAGGTTGGCAGAAGCTGGGGCTGACAGTGGAAGCTAATGCCACTCCCCCGATTTGAACCTGCAACCATTTGGTCAGCAAGTTTAGCAGATCAGCGGTTTAACCCACTTCGCCATATAATCCAGTTCAAAGCAGATAATCTGGGGCCTAAGATGAATCTATTACAGTGGTTTCTGGGGCCGAGAGTGTATGATTCGACCAAGATCAAGCAGTAGGTTTCTTTGGATGAGCATGGAATGAAACCCTGATCTACTTAATCATTCAATATCTTGGCTCTGAGACTGACACCTTTACACATTTCAAAGGCGTTTGTTGTATTTTATCCCAAATTATATTGTATCGTGGCTGGAAAGCATAATCACAGTTATAAACGTGTAACCTAAAACTATGCATTAATCACTGACAGATATCCATGCTTCCTACAAAAGAGCATAGGGAATAAACAGCAATGATAAAAGCTCAGTTTTTCATAACCAGGCAGCAGCTGCTGTGAACGACAGGATACCAAGCAACATATGGTAAGTTTACATTATCATTTCATGTGGTTGCTTTTTTACAGTGAAACCCTTCAGTTCAATTGAATCTTTTTTAGGCACAAAGGTGCCCTTCTCTATCTCTCAACTGTTAAGAGTGTCCGGATATATTATATTTGTTACAGGTATTGTATTTTAAATTATCATTAAATGGCAATTACATTGTTATTTTTGTAAACATAGACTTAGTACAACATGTAACAAGTAGAGATTTCCCCTACAAAATGGGCCATCCTTTTATTCTTTTTCACAGGCAGAGGTTTCTCAAGTTCTGTGAGACCAAGCACTACTCTTAAGTAAATCTGAAATCTAAAGTCAAGGGAGAGGCTAAATGAAGTATCCTCTTTTTCCTTCTGGAAAAATGAATTCAAACACAGAAGTTTTAAAATAGCTCATAGCTAAGACTTATTAGTGATGTGAACTAATAAAGGAAACAAGAATCGATGCATGCAAATCTTTGGACAAATCCACATACACTTATGAAAGTGCATGAGTTGCATAAAACTTATATATGCAAATTTATTTAAATGAAGTCCTACCCCAAATAACTTGAATCCAAGCAGTCAACTGCCTAAAAATGCTTGGGAGATGCACAGGAGGAAGGTTTTGCTCCGTCTTTGCCATCTATTGAACCTTCTAGTGGTACAACGGGTTAAACCGCTGAGCTGCTGAACTTGCTGACTGAAAGGTCGGTGATTTGAATCCGGGGAGTGGGGTGCGCTCCCACTGTTAGCCCCAGTTTCTGCCAACCTAGCAGTTTGAAACAAGCAAATATGAGTTGATCAATAGATACCACTCTGGTGGGAAGGTAATGTCGCTCCATACAGTCATGCCGGCCACATGACCTTGGAGATTTCTATGGGCAATGCTCGCTCTTTGGCTTAGAAATGGAGATGAACACCAACCCCAAGAATTGGACACGACTAAATTTAATGTCGGGGAAAACCTTTACCTATCCATACTATTATCTTTTTGTGCCCTATCTACAATGTGGTGAAAAAAAATGTGGACACAAAGTGTATTAATATAGTTGCTAAGACTTCATCTCATAGAATCGTGGGATTTGTAGTTTGGCGAAGGATTTAGAATTCTATAGTGTACTTCTCACACAGTTGTGTAATTGTATGAGTATAGTTATGTAGTACATCTGCATGCTTTGTTAATGGAGAAGGGAATAAAAAGCATGTAACATTCAATGAGCCTATGACTGTACTCCTTTCTTATCTCAGGGAGGTTTGTTTGAGTAGTCTCAGGTGTTTAGCTCTCACAGCTTTAGGGGTTGCCTCATCCGACTGAGCAGAGGCAGTTAAAAGTTGCCTGTCTACAAAACTCAAAACCCGAAACAAGGCAAGAAAAAAAATCAGAATTCGGAAAATGAGAGGTTCCATCTTGTGGGGTTTTGCTGCATTCCTCCTTAAATTTATGTTCTTTGTTGGATATGCTGAGGAGGTTCCTACGTCAGAAGGTAAGAGAGCAATATTTCAGGCTTCAAACAAAGAGGTGACAAGTAGTCCTGGAAACCATATGGATCATCAGGACATAGAAAAAGTAAATTCCAGTGGTAGCATGGAACTTCTAGCCTGGCTATGACAAATCTCAACAATTGCAAAATGTGCCCAGTATTCTGGGTAGTACAGAGTTGTCCCCCTCCATGAAGGAGCCCCCTATCATAGAGGGTTACTTTTAGGAGAGTGGATTGCTAAGGTCTTTGCAGATTACATTGCTTTCTGTTCCACAAATCCCAACTATTATCTATTATTTTTCTTTATTTGTCATATCTGAAGCGAACCAAGGGTACAGCTGTAATGTATTTAAATAACACAAAATTTAAAAAAACTTGGCATTATACTAAATGTCCTTTGACCAGTAGCTGGCCACTTGCAGTGCCTCTGGTGTTGCTATAAGAAGGTCCTCCATAGTGCATGTGGCTGGGCTCTGACTGCATTATAATAGGTAGTCTGTGGTTTGCTCTTCTCCACATTCATATGTTGTGGACTCCACTTTGTGGCCCCATTTCTTAAGGTTGGCTCTGCATCTCATGGTGCCAGATCACAGTCTGTTCAGCGCCTTCCAAGTCGCCCAGTCTTCTGTGTGCCCAGAAGGGGGTCTCTCTTTCGGTATCAATCATGACTTGAGGTTCCGGGTTTTAGTCTGCCACTTTTGGACTCTTGGTTGCTGAAGTGTTTCTGTGAGTATCTCTGTAGATCTTAGAAAACTATTTCTTGATTTAAGGTGTTGTCATGCTGGCTGATATCCGAACAGAGGATGGGCTGGAAATGTCACTATTATTTATTATGAAAACACTAAAATGGTATCCCTGACCTCATAATAGGGTGCATTTACCATGTGGAATTAATTCACTATTATTTATTATGAAAAGACTAAAATAGTATCCCTAACCTCATAATAGGGTGCATTTACCCTGTGGAATTAATTCAGCTTGGTATCACAAACTTCCATGGCTCAATGCTATGAAATCCTAGGAGTTGTAGTTTTATTTAGTCTTTAGCCCTCTCTGCCAAAGAGATCTGTTGCCTCAACAAACTATAAACCCCAGGATTCCATAGAAATCAGCCATGGCTTTTAGAGTGGAGTCATAGCACTATAACTTTGAAGTATGAAAGCATTTTCGATTGCTTGAAAGAAGCAGTATTTGCAAAACTAAAACAATCATGATTCCAGCAAGGAAGTTTTAATCTAACTATTTAAGCCTGTAAAACTATTTATTCCTTAGAAGCTTGATTAATAATTAGGCTTTAATTTAGTTTAATGTCATGTAAAATCAAGTTGAAGTCAACTTCTCATGGAAAACAAGCTTTTTACCAGAGTTTCCTCAAAAGAGCTGCTCAAAGCCCCAGCAGGTCTTGCTGGAAAATCTTCATTCCTAGCATGGTGGAAGGTGAAAGAAGGAAAGGTGTTCCCAAAAATGTCAGGTTAATCTAAGCACTGCATAAAGGCAAAGATGCAAAAAAATTCCCCAACAGGTGAGTCCTCACTGAACTTCAAAACACAGGCTGAAGGTAGTTATGGCTGTGAGTTTCTGCAGAAATTCCATTTTGAAAGGATTGTGATCATCTACTTTTTCCAATTCTCTAGGCACCGTCAAAGATACAAGGAAACCGGTTCTTCTGGAGGATGTTGCAGCCATTGAAGCGTTTATCAATGCTGCTGAAGTGGTGGTGGTTGGATTCTTTAAGGTCTGTTGAGAGAGTTCAGTCACAATAAGATACACAGTCAGTTATTTCATATCAAGCACTCTGACATAACTTGCTTTCAAACATGTATAATGGGGGTGACAACATAATAACTCCTAATTCCTAGAAACAGCAAATATTTTTTTACCTGGGTTCTGTGAGTTTTCCGAGCTGTATGGCCATGTTCCAGAAGCATTCTCTCCTGACGTTTCATCCACACCTATGGCAGGCATCCTCAGAGGTTGTAAGGTCTGTTGGAAACTAGGCAAGTGGGGTTTATATATCTGTGGAATGTCCAGGGTGGGAGCAAGAACTCTTGTCTGTTGGATCCCCCAGGCAGGAAGCAACCAGGCTTTGAAGCTACAAGGTTATTCAATGCTTATCAAGGTGGCCAACTGCAACATTCACACTTACCTCAAGCAGGCAAGAGTTCTTTCCCCCACCCTGGACATTCCAAAGATATATAAACCTCACTTGCTATTTTCCAACAGACCTCACAACAGTAGAGTTTAATGTTGATATAAATGATTTTAATGTTTATGTATGTCCAGCATTGAATGTTTGCCATTTATATGTTGTGCTCTGCCCTGAGTCCCCTTTGGGATGAGAAGACTGGAATTTAGTTTCCAACAGACCCCTCAACCTCTGAGGATGCCTGCCATAGATGTGGGTGAAACATCAGGAAAGAATGCTTCTGGAACATGGCCATACAGCCTGAAAAACTCAAAGCAGCCCAGTTATTCCAGTCATGAAAGCCTTCAACTTTTTTACCTGCTTGGTTTACACTTTTAGTAAAGTATGATGAGTATGATTGGAGCACAGTTTCATAACTTAATACAACATTATTCAAGAATAATAATTGAAGTGTGTGCAACAACTTAATCTCAACTCCAAAATATAAAATGAAAATACTGACCTCTCCCAATAACCCAGAATACATGTTGATCTATTTCTTATAATTACTATCTGAAGTCAGTTTATGACACTCAGGGGCCAGTATTAGGCAGTTCATGTTGTTGTGAAACAGCAGACAGGGGTGAATTCTTGTCTTGAACCTCCCTAAAAGGGCAGCTACATACTGCCATTAAACTTCTGCCACCATTAAAACAACTGCCCGATATTTTGGAGCACGTGATATAGTGTTGCTGTGGGAAAAACTTGAAGTGGCAATTTCCTGGAGGACTGCCATCACTTGGAGGAGAGCTTAGGTTTGAACCATCCCCATGTGACAGCATTCGTGGGAATCCAAAATCTTAAACAACGAAAGACGCAGTAAATGAGGCTTAACATCTGATTCTAATCATAATTTTTCCTATAGATTGATTTGCATCCAGAGTTTATGTGGCAATTGCTTTTTCCTGGTGTTTATGGTTTTGGTAAGAGTTTTTTGGGGGCAGCTAGTACTCTCCTCTTGCAAAGTTTTTCCTGTACTTATGGCACTCTGTGATTAAAGTTGTGTCGTCTAATCATATGTAGATTATAGACTATCTTGCCTTTGGAATCAGCAAATCATACTACACCAACTTTGAGTCATTTTGTATGACTGCAGAAGGCAATTAAGTGAGATCAAAGAGTCAGAAGTGATTATACACACATACACACATCTTTCCCTTGGCTGTATTGTGCTACATCTTCAACACCAACTAAGAGCAAACTTAAGCAGATTAGCCATGTGACAGACAATTTAGGACAACAAATGTATGCACAGAATAATCCCCACCAAGAGGTTCACGGGAACCTAACTATCTTCTCAGAACATTGAGGTTTATTCTGATAGAACCATCTCAATTGACCAAGAAAAAGTAAGGACGATTTTTACAGCATACTTTTAAAATGACATTATGTAACTCAGTTTTCGTTCCTGGATTATAAATGTTATCTCCTAATTGGTTCTATCATAAAAGCATGGCAAATGTTTATTAAACTACAAAACATTGTTTTTGTGGGATATTCTGTAGCACATTTTGCTATAGTTTTTCAATGAGTCGAGGTTGAGCGTCTGACTGTTAACAGCTGTTGAAAAAAAGGCTGTTAAAACAATGCCCAGCTCACCGTTGACCTAAGCAGTTCGAAAACAGCTATGAGCTGTGAGTAGAGAAATTAGGCACCGCTTAAAGCGGGGAGGCTAATTTATGGGACCATAAAAATTCTGGAGAGCAAGGAGGAAATAATACGATCAAAAAGGCTTGACGTCATAGTGGACGAAGCAACAGCTCCCTCTGTGACCGAATCGAACAACCTCCAGGACGATTAGAAGTGGAAGCACTGTTGAATGAATGGCCTCTATCTGTTTGTATGTCTTGTATGTCAAAAACGGCATTGAATGTTTGCCGTGTATATGTACATTGTGATCCACCCTGAGTCCCCTTCGGGGTGAGAAGAGAATATAAATATTGTAAATAAATAAATAAATAAATAAATAAAATGAATATTTCATAAAGTCTTAACTAATTCCTCATATTTATTTATTTATTTACGATATTTATATCCCATCCTTCACACCTCGAAGGGGACTCAGAGTGGCTTATGTTATTTGTACATACAATATATATTATATTATTAGCATAGCACAATATATATTACTATATTGTACTATATCAATATTAGTAATATTACATGTAATATAACATTTATAATTATTATATTATTATATTTTATTATTAGTAGTATTATCTTGCATTACAATATTATGATCAATATTATATTCACATACAATATATTATAAATATTAGCATAGCATAATATTAGTATTATATATTACTATGTTGTATTATACTGAAAATAATTAGTAATATTATATGTAATATAAAATATATAATTATTATATTATTGCATTGTATTATTAGTAGTATTATATTGTATTACAATATTATGACCAATATTATATGTACATGCAATATATTATAATTATTAGCATAGCACAATATTAGTATTATATATAACTATATGGTACTATACCACTATACTGCAATTTTATTCGTAATTTATTTATTTATTTGGAACATTTATATCCCGTCCTTTCTCAACCTCCAAGGAGGGACTCAGGACGGCTAACATTACATGTTATATATATATACAGAGAGAGAGAGAGAGAGAGAGAGTCATGTCAGGAGCGACTTGAGAAGCTGCAAGTCGCTTCTGGTGTGAGAGAATTGGCTGTCTGCAAGGACGTTGCCCAGGGGACACCTGGATGATTTGATGTTTTTATCATCCTTGTGGGAGGCTTCTCTCATGTTCCCGCATGAAGAGCTGGAGCTGATAGAGGGAGCTCATCTGCCTCTCGCCGGATTTGAACCTGCGACCTGTCGGTCCTCAGTCCTGCCGGCACAGGGGTTTAACTCACTGCGCCACCGGGGCTATGTAATATATAATATGCAATTCTTATATTGTATTGTTATGACTATTATATTGTATTACATTATAATGTTATTATTAACATTATATGTATATACAATATATTATATTATTAGCACAGCATAATATTAGTATTATATATTACTATATTGTTGCTGGGGGGAGGGGCTCCCAACTGAATGACCCTGGCTCCCCTTCTTCACTCATAGTTTGTGGTAGTCACAAAAATGAAGTTTCTGGAGTATAACAACTACTATCCAATTATGTACTGCACAATTAAACAGGAAATAAGACTTTTAATCCAGGAACAGATTTTTTTTTTAAATTTTGTTATTAGTTTATATCCACTTACATGGGAGTGAATAGGCTAAGGCTCATGCTGGGTTTTTTTAAAATAGAAAATTCTGTTTCAATTTTGAAAACATCATGCTCTCTATAAATATCCTGTATTCATGTGAAGCCAAGTTTCCAAAGGCTTGGGACTTGGTTTGGCCAGATAAAGCCCAGTTGGTTAATCATGGAACACTCAAGAGCACTTTCTTCCTCCCTTGAAGTCCTTGGCTCCCTTTCCTTCCACACTTGCTTTCTTGTCACAAACAGATGTTCAAAAGAATACTTCTGTTCTCTTGGCTTTTCCTTTTCAACTGACCCTTTCCCTCAACTGAATCAATTATACTATGAACATTGTGTTTCCAAATCCATCTCCTGGAAGCATTTATGCTTTGATAAATTTAGCTTAATTAGAAGCCATTTGGAAATATTTACTTTTTTCTCTCAAAAGACTGAGTTTAGCCAAAAAGGCATTCAATCAAACTTATTCTGAGAATTTCCAAAATTCCGTAACTTTTAAAGGTTTGCGTATATTTGTTAACCCTTTTACTGTAAGTGTATGCAATTTCTCATTATTCCTCTCCCTCATCCTAAAGATAAAAGAATCATAGATTCATAGAGTTGAAAGAGAACTGGTGGGCCATTCAGTCCAAGCCCCTGCCAAGAAGCAGAAAATTGCATTTAGAGCACCCCTGACAGATGGCCATCCAGCCTCTGTTTAAAAGCCTCCAAAGAAGGAGCCTCCACCACACTCCAGGGCAGAGTTCCACTGCTAAACAGCTCTCACAGTCAGGAAGTTCTTCCTAATGTTCAGGTGAAATCTCCTTTCCTGTAGTTAGAAACCATTGCTCCATGTCCTAGTCTCCAGGGCAGCAAAAAACAAGCCTGCTCCCTCCTCCCTATAACTTCCCCTCACATATTTATACATGTCCCTAATCATGTCTCCTCTCAGCCTTCTCTTATGCAGATTAAACATGCCCAGCTCTTTAAACCACTGCTCATGGGGCTTGTTCTCCAGACCCTTGTTCATTTTAGTCCAGCTTGTCAACATCTCCCTTCAATTGTGGTGCCCAGAATTGGACACAGTATTCCAGAATCCGGGGAGCAGGATCTGCCAACTTCTGCCAACCTAACAGTTTGAAAACATGCAAATGTGAGTAGATCAATAGGTACCGCTCCAATGGGAAGGTAACGGTGCTCCATGCAATTGTCCTGGCTACATGACCTTGGAGGTGTCTACAGACAATGCCGGCTCTTCAGCTTAGAAATGGAGATGAGTGCCATCCTCCAGAGTCAGACACAGCTATACTTAATGTCAGGGGAAACCTTTACCTTTACTAGATAGTTTTAATAATTCGGCATTATTTTTCCTCCTTTCTTTCTTCCTCTTCCTCTCTCACTTCTTAGCCAATGTAAATGGTGTAGAATTTTCATCAATACATAGTGGATCAATAACCCAATTACACCCAGGAGCTGAATATTTTGCTGCTTGTGATGGAAGAGCAAATGTTTCCTGCTCACCCACTTACTCATTCCTGTCAAACTGGATAATATCAAGAGCTGATCAAGATGCCTTAGCTCTTGAGGGACAACTCGCACATTCACAAATCCCTGGTCTCTTTGGGATTAAAAAAATACAGTGCTAAACATAGAAAAGAAAGACATTACTGGCGGGAAGTCATAGGGAGGAGGGAGCAGGCTTGTTTTCTGCTGTCCTGGAGACTAGGACATGGATCAATGGCTTCAAACTACAGGAAAGGAGATTTTACCTGAACATTAGACAGAACTTCCTAACTGTGAGACTTGTTCAGCAGTGGAACTCTCTGCCCCGGAGTGTGGTGGAAGCTCCTTCTTTGGAAGCCTGTAAACAGAGGCTGGATGGCTATCTGTTGGAGGTACTTTGCATGCGATTTTCCTGCTTCTTAGCCAGAGGTTGGATTGGATGGTCCATGAGGTCTCTTCCAACTCTATGATTCTACTCTGGTACTGAACAACAGCTATCTTAGACAACTGGTCACACTTTGCTTAATGGCATGGCCACCTTTGCGTGTGTTTTCAACTAAGATAAATGCAGAATTTAAAAGCAGCTTCTGAAGTTTCATATCTTTTATTTCTTCCCATGAAGCAGTGAGTCATGAAGAAAAAGGTCCCTGAAGAAGCCTGTAGGATTCAAAAGAACCACCAGATGTCAGCATTCCCCCTAAATACTGGCTAGAGGAAAAAGTCTGCAGAAAACCTGTGGAATTTATTTGGTCCTCCCAAGTGTTTTGGGGGTATCTCTACACTGTGGAATTAATGCAGTTTGATGCCACTGTCTCAATGCTATGGAATCATGGTAGTTGCAGTTTTACAAAGTCTATAGCCTCTCTGCCAAAGGGTTTAGTGCAGACATGGGCAAACTTCATCCCTCCAGATGTTTTGGACTTCAACTCCCACAATTCCTGGCCTCAAGCCCTTTTCTTTTCCCCCTCAGCCGCTTAAGTGGCTGAGGGGGAAAAGGAAAGGGCCTGAGGCCAGGAATTGTGGGAGTCGAAGTCCAAAACATTTGAAGGGATGAAGTTTGCTCATGCCTGCTCTAGTGTAAACTACAATACAACAAGCAACAGTTATATATATTATTCTACATTACCTTATAAGCAGTCTTCTTTTTGCTATCTTCTTTTTGAGCCAGAATTCATCCTTGGACCAGTCTCTACATAATAATTTTTGGAAACTTTGCTGTTTTTATAAAAAATTCTCTTTGGGGAGGCATCCATGTTACAGTGGATTACAGACAGTGCACATTTATAGTGTTGTGTAATGGTCTAAACTGTTTGCCATGCCATTCTCTCTTCCTCGATCTCTTTAGGATTTGGAGCGACCAGAAGTTTCGGAATTCCTCATCATGGTGCAAAATATACCAGAAGTGCCATTTGCCATCTCCAACAGCTCTCAAGTGCTTTCTCATTACAATGTCACCAGAAATACCATCTCCCTCTTCCGCGAGGTAGGTGTTCTTTTTTTGTTTCCACCACTTTCAGTAACAATAAAGGTGCTAATTGTATAATCTGGGACCATTTCTTAAATTCCATTAATAATGGAATGTATGATGTCTTATTTACTTTGCAGTAAAGATATGAATATGCATATCCAATATCAGCAGGAATATTTTGGCTTGGAATATCATGGATAGGAGAGTGGCTCAACCCAAATAGTTCAATGTATTATCGAAGGCTTTCATGGCTGGAATCACTGGGTTGTTGTAGGTTTTTTGGGCTATATGGCCATGTTCTAGAAGCATTATCTCCTGATGTTTCGCCTGCATCTATGGCAAGCATCTTCAGAGGTTGTGACATCTCACAACCTCTGAGGATGCTTGCCACAGATGCAGGCGAAACATCAGGAGAGACTGCTTCTAGAACATGGCCATATAACCCGAAAAACCTACAACAACCCACAATTAGTTCACTTTGTATTAACAAAAAAATCCCCAAAAACCCCAAAAAAACCAGTGGTTTCCCTGTTCCTTTGGCTGCTCTAGTGCCTGAAGACAAATGGCATGTTTTGGAATGAATTCAATGTTGCTTAAAAACTGATTAAATGATTCTAATCTTAATTAGTATATGGATAATAATAATCTGTGTTGACTTTGGCAAGTCGTTAGAACAGTGGTTCTCAACTTTCCTAATGCCATGACCCCTTAATACGGTTCCTCATGTTGTGGTGACCCCCAACCATACAATTATTTTCGTTGCTACTTCATAACTGTGATTTTGCTACTGTTATGAATCGTCATGTAAATATCTGATATGCAGGATGTATTTTCATTCACTGGACCAAATTTGGCAAAATACTCAATACACCCAAATTTGAATACTTGTCACTTGTCAAAATTTGATTTTGTCATTTGGGAATTGTATTTTCTGGGATTTATAGTTCACCTACAATCAAAGAGCATTCTGAACTCCACCAACAATGGAACTCCATCAACCTCACAGAACTCCCATGACCAACATGGTGGGCATTGACCTTGAGTTTTGAAGATGTAGTTCACCTACACCGAGAGAGCACTGTAGACTGAAGCAATGATGGTCTTTCTGATGGTCTTTGGCAACCCCTCCGATACCCCCTTGTGAACCCCCAAGGGGTCCTGATCCCCAAGTTGAGAAACTCTGCTTTAGAATGTCTTATTTTTATTTTCAGCTGTCTTATGATAATGGGTTTGTCAACATAAGCTTTATTGGACTGCAGATTAAATCATGAGATGCATGGAGCATTGCTGCAGTTGGCAGATCATTCATGCTTATGCTTTGTTTGGTGAATATAGTAAGTGAAATGGAACTGAAATTCATATATGAGAGCACTAAAGAATGTATTCCAATTCCTATAATACAAGGATGGGAATCACATTTGGACTGTAGCTTCCATTATTCCTCATCTGCCTCTATATGCCACCTAGGACTTGTGGGACGTACTGTCCAACAACACCTTGAGGTGCACATGTTTACCATTCTGTCTTTAATCTGAAGACTATTAACTAGAGTCATATGTGACTTAATAGAGCTTAGGAAAGAAACTTTTTAAAGACTACAGATTTATAGGAGAGATGTACCGTAGCATTTCCCTGCCTACATTTCTCCTGTTTCTTTTCCTTAACCTCTCTGCTCTTTCTGCCACTAGTCAACTTGACCAAAGCTGTCAAAGCCAGCACTGAGCCTGGTGCAAAAGGCATGATTACAATTCTTTTCTAAACAAGAAACATTATAGCTCCACAGATAACAACATTTGTTTTGTAATGTACTTGTCTTTTCACTCTCTAGGTCTCCAGAAGTCTGTACTCTGGGGATTTTACACCTCTTGCTCCTTAGTCTTCTGCCTGACTAGGTTGCTTTTCAACATCAGCACTTTTTCCTCTGTGTTTTGCAGCTTAAGTAGCCATCCAGAAAAAAAATTAAACAGCATCTGCAAAGTAGCTTTCGTCAGCAAGATATCCCCCCACAATGCTCTTATTTACTTCCTGGCCAAGGTGGGAGAAGGAATGGAGGGGGTGTGCAAACACAGTCCCCCCTCCAGCTAACCTAATATTGCAGTTCACATATGTACACAGGAAACTCTTCAGGTTACTTTGAAATTATAACTGCTAGCAATTTTCATGGCTCGTTAGCATCCTGAACCAACTGTCTTGCTATGTTCCTTTGTCTGTTCAGGCCATCACCATCTAACAAATAACTCTTTGTATATACCTGACTAAAGCAAGTAGTGAAGAGAACATATTTGAATGTATTGTCGAAGGATTTCATGGCCGGAATCACTGGGTTGTTGTAGGTTTTTTTGGGCTATATGTTCATGTTCTAGAGGCATTCTCTCCTGATGTTTCGCCTGCGTCTATGGCAAGCATCCTCAGAGGTATTCTCACTACCTCTGAGAATGCTTGCCATAGATGCAGGCGAAACGTCAGGAGAGAATTATTTATTTATTTATTTATTTACTGCATTTGTTGACCGCCGCTCTCAGCCCTGGGGCGACTCGCGGCGGTGTACAACATATAAAAAACAGTTTACAAAAGCACACAATATATCAACAAACCATATTACACATTAATCTAAACACATTAACAAATCCGCACCGTCACAACATAGAATCATAGCCAGTCTCATTATCCATAATCCGTTCCAGTTGTCATTACCAGATTCGTGTAGCTCTCAATTAAATGCCTTCTCGAATAGCCAGGTCTTTAGGCTCTTACGGAAAGCCATAAGGGAGGGCGCCTGCCTGATGTCAACAGGGAGGGTGTTCCACAGCCGGGGGGCCACCACTGAGAAGGCCCTCTCCCTCGTCCCCGCCAGACGTACCTGTGAGGCAGGCGGGATCGAGAGAAGGGCCTCCCCAGACGATCTCAAGGCCCTCGTGGGCTCATAGGCCGAGATGCGGTCCGAAAGGTATTTTGGACCGGAACCGTTTAGGGCTTTGTAAGATAACACCAGCACCTTAAATTGGGCCCGGTAGCAGATCGGCAGCCAGTGGAGCTGGGACAACAAGGGCGTTGTGTGCTCCCTGCGTCCCGCTCCTGTTAGTAACATAGCTGCCGCGCGCTGGACTAGCTGAAGCTTCCGGGCCGTCTTCAAGGGCAGCCCCACGTAGAGAGCGTTGCAGTAGTCAAGGCGGGATGTGACCAGAGCGTGTACCACCGTGGCCAAGTCAGACTTCCCAAGATACGGGCGCAGCTGGCGCACGAGCCGAAGCTGTGCAAAAGCTCCCCTGGTCACCCCTGAAACCTGGGGATCCAGGCTCAGAGATGAATCCGGGATCACACCCAAGCTGCGAACCTGCGCCTTCAAGGGGAGTGCGACCCCGTCCAGCACAGGCTGTAACCCTATACCCTGTTCGGCCTTGCGACTGACCAGGAGTACCTCTGTCTTGTCTGGATTTAATTTCAGTTTGTTCTCCCTCATCCAGACCATTACAGCGGCCAGGCACCGGTTCAGGACCTCGACAGCCTCCTTAGTAGCAGGTGGAAAGGAGTGACAGAGTTGGACATCATCTGCGTACAGATGACACCGTACCCCGAAACTCCGGATGATCTCACCCAGCGGCTTCATGTAGATATTAAACAGCATGGGGGACAGTATAGAGCCCTGAGGAACCCCACAGGTCAAAGGCTGCGGAGTTGAACAGGAGTCCCCCAATAACACCTTCTGGGTCCGACCCTCCAGGAATGATTGGAGCCACTGCAGAGCAGTGCCCCCAAGACCCATCTCCGCAAGGCGCCCCAGAAGAATACCGTGGTCGACGGTATCGAAGGCCGCTGAGAGGTCCAGGAGCACCAACAGGGACACACTCCCCCTGTCTAGCTCCCGGCGCAGATCATCCACTAAGGCGACCAAGACCGTCTCGGTACCATGTCCCTAGAATGCCTCTAGAACATGAACATATAGCCCAAAAAATCCTACAACAACCCAGAACACATTTATTTCTGACCTGGATAGTTTGTGTCATATTTACCTCGGGTAAAGTCATAATCCATTGGTTATGGAAGCTTCTGGTTTAGTATTATGAGTCACTCACTGTCATCTGGTGGCTCCCATGGCATGTGTACTGAATACATTCTAGGTTTCCGATAGATTTCAGAGGCTCATATAGGAATATAGGTCATCACCTTGGAAATATTTAAGAGCTAGAGTAGATTCATCAACCTCACTGATATGGGAACCAGATGCCAGTGGGGACACTATGATCTATCTCTTAGGTCAATAGGTAGGCAAGGTGTCCCAGCATTGAATGTTTGCCGTATATATGCTGTGCTCCGTTCTGAGTCCCCTTCGGGGTGAGAAGGGCAAAATATAAATGTTTTAAATAAATAAATAATTATAAATAAGAAGTTGCTGGGAAAGGGAGGACACAGAGAAGATCTGATAACCCAGGATGGCATCATAGAAGAAAATATGGCCATTTGGGAAACCCTAGGGAGCTAGTGTGCTCCTCATGAAGGTCAGATTCAGCCTCAAGGCCTGACATTCAACACCTCTAAACTTGGAAATAAGTAGATGCCACATAGAATGTTTGTAGCTCTCCTAAAGTAAGTGCCCATTTACTCTCCAGTAGAGTTGGCCCATGCACATACTTATGTCTTCTATTTAAGATCAACATTCTTCCACTTCATCTCACTGAGAGACAGGGCCTTCTCAGTGGTGGTTCCTTGGCTCTGGAATGCTCTCCCCAGTGAGATTAGATTAGCTCCCTCCCTCCTGGCCTTTAGAAAGAAAACAAAGATGTGGTTGTGGGACCAAGCCTTTGGCCAGTAAAATAATGCAGTGCAAAGCATAATTAGGGAATATGTACAATGACAATTGGAATGGCTCCGGTGTCCGGGTTGTATGGCCATGTTCCAATAGCATTGTCTCCTGATATTTCACCTACATCTATGGCAGGCATCCTCAGAGGTTGTGTAGTTTGTTGGAAACTAGTAAAATTGGGTTTATATATTTGTGGAATGCCCAGGGTGGAAGA